AATAAATAATCTTCATTACAACAAACTTTTTTTCCTGGTACACCAAGTTTAAAAGCAGCTTCTAATGAGTTTGAATCACGCTTGGAGAAGGGAACCCATACCATGGGACACTTTTCTTCAGGAGGCGTTTTAGAATTATTTGATTTTGGTGTTTTTAATGGGTCCCATGATGGAACGTCTACAGCATAAAACCTAGCCAGAGACGGTTATCTTTGTTAAAATTAGTTAAAACAAAGTAGATTTGTTTTAATCGTCAAATTCTTACCAACGAACAGGTAATGGAGGACAATCAAGATTATCTAATGCCATTTTTTATTGTTTCAAAAAAAACTAAAATTAGATTGCGTATTTATATAATGATAAATTTAGTATCGATTGTGGCGCAAAATTCAGGTCGGAATTCTTCGGAGCACGTAGGCTTGCATTAAGTCCCAAATTTAGAAAATTATTATCAGCCAAAAAGTCGTATTAAGAAAAATGACGAAATCGAAACAAATCGAAATTTTTATACGTATTAAATTCGAGGTAAAATTTCATAAAAAGTATTAACTAAATTTTGCATGGGTTAAAGACCATGTGAAACGGATTCACCCTTGCAAATTAGGTTATTGTCGCGGCTGAAGCTTGAAACGGCTGAAGCTGGAAATTAGGGACCTCGATTTAAAAATATAAACCCTACCAAAATCCACCTATACATTTTTATAATCAAAACTAACCCTAAATCCTAAGCTAACTATGAAAAAAACGCTAAAAAATGCACCCCAAAAAGTTTTAAAAATTTCATATATATTAAAATATTTAGAATTTCCAGCTTCAGCCGCGACAGTTATTTTATACAATCTCATAAATAATATCTTAATCGTTATTGGATTATTTGCTAATTACACTATATACTAAGTAAGGTTTTATAACCCTCTTTATATTCGATTCTATTCGTATCTAATTAACAGATTTTATAACCTTTATAACTTTGTTTTACATATTACTGTATATTACATGTATGTATTACTATAGTCATTATCTCTATACAATAACTATATAATCATAAACTCTATATAATTATATAATTTTATGCAGGCATTTTTTTTAATATTAAAATACTTCTATTTTATTACAATCTTTTTTTAAAAAAATTTTTATAAAAATATTGTTAAATATCGCAAGTTAATATGATCAATCACAAAATCTTTTTTTTTTTTTGGTGTTAAGGTGACCTCTTGGTCATCTTCTTTTATTCAATTATAAGTTAACTTTACAATATGCCATAGCATATCATATATATTTGGAGAATATATATTAACCACATATACAACTTTTGATTGCCTATTTAAGTAGTCCACTTATAACTAAGTTTTATACTAAATGCTATACCTATAACCTAACTAGAGAATTATCTATTTAAACTCTTTATACCTATGGAGTTACTTTATAACCAAGCAAGAGTACTAGGACCTTTTAGTTTCAGATATCTAGTTTAGATTGATTACAGAATCTTGTATAATATAAATAACCAAAAAAAAATTAGAAAAATTAATAAAAATTAAAGAATTAATATATTTGTAGTCATAGGCTACCATAGCCGTAACTAAAATAATACTTTTCATTGTTAGTTAGGATTAGGGTGAGTTAAAAATAGTATGCAGGTGAAAAGGTATATTTATAGTAAAATTTAGCAAGGAATTTTTTTTATTAAAACCCGAAGAGTAGTGTAATATAACAAGTTGACTCTTGGTTAACAAGTTATACTACTTGACTTAATGTATAAGAGTGGTTAAGAAATGTGTTTATATAATTTTATAAC